ATCAATATTCATTGTCGCAAGTTCTAAGATCAATATCAATTTTTCAACAGTCACATATTCAGATACTCTCAACTCACGAGTGCAAATTAAGCAGCGAAATATATGATAATAATTTAGAGGTAGTATATTTATGCAATTAACTAATGAAATGAAACTAATAGAAAACAAGGTTAGGAAACGAAACCTCCTCTCGTGTATTGATTACTTGCTTCCCAAATTAGTTCAACCCAAAAGCCCATTAACTACAGTGGAGTCCACATCCCAATCTTATCAACAACCATTGTTAATCTCTGTTCTCCTTTGATCTCAGGGATAAGAATTCGGCGGCTGCTCGGTGCGGCTTGGATCTGAGAAGTGGACGGTGGCTGCTCGAAGGCGAAGAGCGACGGCGACTGTCGGCGGTTGAGGACGGTGACGATTGTTCGGGTGTAGCGACTGGTGGATGTTGGCGTCGCTTGGGGGAAATGCGATGGATCTGCTGGAGGCGGTGGAGAACCAGGGGCGACGACAGCGGGATGAAACCGGCAACAGCGTCGGGGTGTTCGGGCAGAGGAGATCCTGGGGCTGCGGCGATTTGCGAGGAAGAAGAGAAGGCGCTGGTGGTTATTGAGGAGGAGATGGCAGGGGATGACGGCGTGGTTTTGTGCGGCGGGGAGCAGGGATGTTCGGTGGCCGTGGAGGCGCTGGTGTAGAGGAAGTGGGGTCTAAGGTTGAAGAAAGATGAACAGAATCGGGATTTGTGAATTGATGTGGAGAGACAACGAAGGGCTGGGTATTTGCTCGTGGAAGGGAAAGAAGAAAGTGGCGGCTGGGAGAAAACAATGAACAGAAAAAAAATTACGCTTAGGGTTTCACACCCTTTGGTTTCATACCCTTTGGTTTCACACCAAATTAAGCATTGTAATTTTTCATTTCGTTCATCATTGTCAAATCTGATTACAAATAGTGTTTAAATAGAAAACCAAATTACAGATTTTTCAATTCCCTCAAATCACTCCCTTGCCAAAACTGAATAACTACTAAATTAAACAACAATTCAAAATTTAAAATTCAAATTTCAAAAACTAAGCTAATATGGGAGATTTCCAATTCTTGTTCTCATCATTCTCCCCGGGTAGGAGAAAACTCGACTCAGTCGAGTTAGCTGCAGAAGCTTGTTATCTTCAATATAATTTGCATGCATCTTAATCTGCCGTCAGTTACTTTCCTACATCTCAAATCATTAGCTAGATTGCATTGTAAATTCACCATCTAAAATATTATCAAAATTCACTGCTGTATGGGTGAATATATAGAAGTGGGGGTAAAGTGAAAGAACTCTCAGAAATAGTGGGCTAGGGTCAGGCTTATATCAGTGGTCGGCCAATAACATTGTGAATTGCTTAATCAATCAATATTAAAAATAGAAATATGACCAAATCGATAAAATAAATGTTGCTATCAATTAGTCAAGAGTTGGAAAAGTTCATAAAATATCACGTCAAATCTTAAACAGCAATAAAGAACTGTATTGGACAAGTCCAAACCATCTAAAATATCAGCGTTAACAATTTAAAATAACGTCCTGACTCCATATCATATATTTCAGCTAACAATGTATTTATTCAAATTAGATCACTGATTCCCCCATTATATGATCAATGCAAAATAAAAATGATGTAAATCAACTCAATTGTTCATGATGAAATGCAGAATAAAAATGATGTAAATCAACTCAATTGTTCATGATGAAATGCAGACTCAAACAATGTGATCAATGACAGATGTAAACTCAACGAAGTGTTCAATAGTTCATGATGAAATGCAGACTCAAACAATGTGATCAATGACAGATGTAAACTCAACGAAGTGTTCAATACACATAACGTCCTCTATCAAATGGAATAATTAGGTGTTCCTTCGTTGATGTGCATAACAAATTTCTTGTCCTAAAAAATGACAGTGAGGAATATGCAGACACATGCATGAAAGATGAGTGTTTTGGTCCACTTGACATGAGAGAAAAAGGAAATGAAAACACTCGTGCTACAACTTGTATCCCTAATCACTATATTTTTCATAATGGATCAGTGTATGTGTGAGTGACTATCGGGAAAATGCATGTGGGTTTGACATCTAATATGGTAGTTATTTCACTAGGCTCAATTTGGTGTTCAACTTCCATACAGATATCTGATTGAATCGCTTTAGGACCCACATCAGGAACGAGTTGGGGGTCATGTTGGTCCGGGAGGACTCCGTGGGGAACATCAACAGTGTTTTCAATTACTAGAGTTGGTTCAGAAGGAGTTGGAGTTTCGATTTCAAGAACAACTTCAGGAATAACATCAGTGGACTCCGTGATCAAAGGGGTAGCTTGGGGAATAACCGGAGTGTTGTCATTGCATGAAACTTCAGTTAACTCCACAATTGTTGGGGTAGTTTCAGAAGGTATAGAAATGTATGGTTCTTCCAATATACTACCCTGGATTTTCTTGTCAGAGTTAGATTCTGTCAAAATTACGGCCTGGGTAACGGCTTCCTCAATAATAGATTTTGATTCCGTTACAGGCGGCTTATTAATTCTAACTCTGAACGGAGTTGTACATACGGGTGCAACGTGCCCATATCCTTGACAATTGTAACATTGCATTATTGGGCTAAGTTTGGAGAGAGATTTTTCTAACTTCTGGCCCTTCGGATCGACTCTAGACTGGGAAGGACTCGGGTTAGATCGACTCGGAGGCTGACTAGAGGTATTGGCACGGGAAAACTGGGAGGAATGAGTTTGAAAATTCTGAACCCTATGAGATTGGTGTAATTTGGCATCATCTAAATCTTGAACTAATGCGTAAGCTCTCTCAAGGGTGTTTACTCCTCTAGCAAAGAGTTCGGTTTGGAGGTCAATTCTCAATCCGACTCTAAACTTTGATAAGACTTTTATCGGTGCCTCTGGTTCAATGGTGCTGCATCGAGTAAACAATTCATCAAATTGATCAACGTATTCTTTTGCAGATTTGGTTCCCTGAGTAAGACAATGCCACTTATCTAGCAATCTATAAATAAACGATGGCGGGAGATATTTCTGTTTTAGTTCGTCGGCCATTTCTCGCCAAGTAAAAATTGGTAACTCACCTCTAATATGCCTTATCATTTTGAAGTTGGACCAATATTAGTAGGCGGGTCCAGTGAGCTTCATTGTGGCAAACTTGACTTTCTGGGATTCCGTCAGGGCGTACCAATCGAAGTAGCGATCCACGCTCTTCAGCCAGTCAAAGAAAATTTCTGGGTTGAGCCTATCATCAAAGGTTGGTGGATCAGGCACGGGTTGAGGTGGGGGTCGATGAACTATGTATCCATGACCTTGCGGTGGGTATCCATAGCCTTGACCTTGTGGCGGTGGAGTTGTAATCCACATTTCTTTGAGCCTGGCTAATCTTTCGCGGGTTTCATCAATTTGTGCTGCTAGTTCAGCGAATTTCTCAAGGAGTTCGGGATCTATGTTACCTGACAATCTGGACTCACTAGATGATTCACTAGACTCTCCTATTCAGGGTAGATCTGTGCGAGTGGGCATGTACTAACAATTAGATGAGATGAATGGTGTGCACAAACAGCTAAATGAGATGAATGATTTTTTTTTAATATCAAATAAAAGACTCAACTAATCTTAAAAAAAAATTCCTACCCTAGAACCAAGCTCTGATACCAAAATGATGCGAAACGGGGGAGGGGTCCATCGGAATCAGCGATTCAATTCGAATAAAGCATCGTTTCGCCAAAATTCATAATATTCGGTAGGAAATTAATTAAAACAGTTAGCGTGACTGATGGATTTTAACAAGATTTGTAACAATAGTCATAAACAATCCCAATCTCGAATAATTTAATCGTAATATCAATATTCATTGTCGCAAGTTCTAAGATCAATATCAATTTTTCAACAGTCACATATTCAGATACTCTCAACTCACGAGTGCAAATTAAGCAACGAAATATATGATAATAATTTAGAGGTAGTATATTTATGCAATTAACTAATGAAATGAAACTAATAGAAAACAAGGTTAGAAAACGAAACCTCCTCTCGTGTATTGATTACTTGCTTCCCAAATTAGTTCAACCCAAAAGCCCATTAACTACAGTGGAGTCCACATCCCAATCTTATCAACAACCATTGTTAATCTCTGTTCTCCTTTGATCTCAGGGATAAGAATTCGGCGGCTGCTCGGTGCGGCTTGGATCTGAGAAGTGGACGGTGGCTGCTCGAAGGCGAAGAGCGACGGCGACTGTCGGCGGTTGAGGACGGTGACGATTGTTCGGGTGTAGCGACTGGTGGATGTTGGCGTCGCTTGGGGGAAATGCGATGGATCTGCTGGAGGCGGTGGAGAACCAGGGGCGACGACAGCGGGATGAAACCGGCAACAGCGTCGGGGTGTTCGGGCAGAGGAGATCCTGGGGCTGCGGCGATTTGCGAGGAAGAAGAGAAGGCGCTGGTGGTTATTGAGGAGGAGATGGCAGGGGATGACGGCGTGGTTTTGTGCGGCGGGGAGCAGGGATGTTCGGTGGCCGTGGAGGCGCTGGTGTAAAGTGGGGTCTAAGGTTGAAGAAAGATGAACAGAATCGGGATTTGTGAATTGATGTGGAGAGACAACGAAGGGCTGGGTATTTTCTCGTGGAAGGGAAAGAAGAAAGTGGCGGCTGGGAGAAAACAATGAACAGAAAAAAAATTACGCTTAGGGTTTCACACCCTTTGGTTTCACACCAAATTAAGTATAGTAATTTTTCATTTCATTCATCATTGTCAAATCTGATTACAAATAGTGTTTAAATAGAAAACCAAATTACAGATTTTTCAGTTCCCTCAAATCACTCCCTTGCCAAAACTGAATAACTACTAAATTAAACAACAATTCAAAATTTAAAATTCAAATTTCAAAAACTAAGCTAATATGGGAGATTTCCAATTCTTGTTCTCATCAAAAAGAGTTTGTCCCTAACCAATGTGGTACAAAACAATAAAGAGTAAACAATTCTCTCAACACTTTCATTTCATTAAAGAAAAATTTGACAATAAGGATTAAATTTTGAAAAACACTCAAACCGGATACTTCCAACAAAGCCAGTCATACAACTTGAACTTTGCTAACAAAACCATGAACAAACATTACACAAGAATCTAGTAAATAAGATACAGATAAACACCAATTAAAAAAGAAGTCCATCACAAATTAAATATATAAAAAAAAAAAATCCGATACTTCAGTTGGTTTGAGAGGGTGGAGGGCTCTTCACACCGGGGTGACTTGGTCCCAATTTTCGCTCCTAAACATTCAGTTACCATCATTTTCGACAAGCCATAATCTGAGAAGCAAACAAGAATAAGAAATGGTACTTACTTGAATAGATATTTTCAGCTGGGACTTCTCTGTCTCAATTTTTTTCGAATTCGGAGGAAACCCTGTGTATACCAAACTTTTACTATCAGAAACATATCCATATACTTAATAGTTGAATCAAAGGAAAGTTTTAATTTAGTCTAGCTAGATACCATTATCTTGAGACTCACTGCAGTTTCTACACTTGACAAGATCAATGAGACACACGGCTCTATCCTTGAGCCGTTGAGCAAAGCTGTCCATTGAGCTAACTGAGTTTGAGGGAATTAAGCAAATGAATTCTTAGCAATATTTCTTTCTTTTCTCCGAGTACTGATCTTCCTTTCTTAACAAGGGCTTTTATATAATTTTTTCTGTATAAAACAAGGCTTGCTGAGTAGACATTATTGAAAGGATTGAAGGATTATGGTTGTTGCTATCATAACTGAGAAGGTTGGGGGCAATTGATGATGTTTCTGAAAATATTTTTCTTGAATATTGAATTGTCTATCAGTATTGGTCAGGGATTACTCCTGATTGAATCTCAAGGAAGATATGGAACAATAAAAAATTTGATTCCCTCTTGATTTCAAACTATAATATGCCTCTCACAAAATCTCAAAAAGACACCAAAGATACTGTAAAATAAACAGTTAAAGACTGTTTTTATGTATTTGCCCAAAATGAGACTACCAATTTCCAACAAAGAACTCGAAAGTGCATCAGTTGCCAGACATTTACGGTTGGACAAGCGATAACTATGGTATTAGATTTGTAAATTTTTATGTAATTCATAAGGGTTTTCCATTTTAGTGAGATTCTTTTAGTTGCATTTAATTATCATGTCCTTAATATTCTGAAACAATAATACACGAAATAGAAAAACTCATCAAGATGCTAAATTTGGTGATATACTACCGAAAGTTTACACTGCTTTTATTTTTAGTGAAAAACTGAATGATGACATGCGTAGCAGGATGTCTAGCTGATCTGCAACATTTTTGACATAGATGAATAATTGAATAAACTCCACAAAAACACATATAATCGATGGACTTTATCTGGAAAAGTGATGAAAAGTTTTCTGAAAAAATAAAAAGATTCCTCTGCAGATTCAGAGAGCTCATTTCAGCTTCTTTCTTCCTTCCCCCTGCTATCATCATTTCCTTTATAGAAAACTTTGATCAAGTAGATAGATGTGTATAATTAGTCCATGATTCCTCTCTTTATAGCTTTATAATGAAGCTGGGTAGCATTTGTTGTGGTATTCTTTAATTGGTTAAGTGTTCCGTCAAATTCATATGATTATGATCTTGCACTAGCAAAAAGATAATCAAAAGTAAGATTATTCATAATGTTGAGAATATCATAAAGTCGTACTGAATTTTTGAAAACGAGGTTCTACTTTAGGATATAAATTGGAAAATATTTTTTAGAATTCATGCACAATCAAGCGGAAATAATAGCAAAGAACAAGCACAACAATAAACGTCAGCTAATCGCAAACAGAGAGATTTATATAGTTCATCCAATTTGTACTACGTCCATAGTAGAGATGCTTAAGAAATTTCACTATAAAAATAGAAAGTACAATGAACTCTCAAAAGCAAAAGGCGAAAGCCAAATCCCCTCTCTCTCTTCTCTATGAATTAGAGTGACGGCAAAAGGATTTTAATGAAAAAACTTTGGAGATAGATTAATAAACCCTCACGTAGCTAGCCTTGGATTTAATCTTGACGATCTGTCCTTTGATCGCGCACATGAGTCAAAATAAATAAATAAATAAATAAATAAAATAAATAAAAGGAAAGAAAGAAAGAAAGAAAGAGAGGAGGGACACTTGCATTTATTTCATGTGGGCCAAGACTGTTGCTATAACTTTTTTATACAAGAGGTCTTACCTGAAAGGAATATTCAGAGGGTTTTGAGGCAAAATTTTTAACAAATCTTCACATTAACTCAAAACTTTGAATGGGTTCTAAACTTTCTCAATAGTCTCTTATTAATGCCATTGCAAATTCGCCCTACGGCTCCTCAACGCTCTTGGACATGAAGCAAGCCCAAGTAAGTGTAGATGGTCAAAAAATACAACTCAATCTTGGACTAATACTCTGTGCAAATATCATGTATCTGACACCTGAAGTATAATGCAAGCTCAAGAAGTGGATGCCTATGGGATAAACACTTAGTCAGGCCATAAAGATGGCCTAAACATGAGCCATAGCGAAGCTCGCCCAAGTCTCAGCGCAGCTCGTCCAAGCGCTAAGCGAAGTTCGTTTAAAATGAACTTTATCGGCTAATTATAGTGAAGCTCGTGCAAAAAGAAGCAAAACACTAAGTGAAGTTCACCTAAAACGAACTTTGAGACCCATGTGGACCACGTCACCCATGTTTCAGAGAAAGTGGCTCACCCATGCTTCAACAAATTTTGCCTAAGATCTCTCAGCTAACCTCGCCTATAATATTATTGACAAACTTCGCCAATTAGCTGTTCCAAGAGCTATTTTCAATAGGAAACAGTTATCCCACTATATCTTAAAGTAATGGACACTTACTCCACTCTTAGGTAGGCCATTAACTCTCTTTCTCTCTCTTAGATTATAAGAGGAAGGGAAATTGTTCATTTGAGGGAGATAAAGATACACGCAAGGAGAGACAAGAACACATATGCACAAATTTGGCTTTTGGATCCATTTAGCATTTCTTTCTCCAAGAAAGACTCAACATCTTCAGAGAGAGATCAGAGATCACTAACTAGTGAGATACTCAAGATCTTATCAGACCATCAATAGAGTAAAAGACCGATAGCTCTATCCGCATGCGAAAAAGAACCTAGAAAATATAATTTTTTGTTTCAAATTATAACTTTTTGAGTAGTAATCTAACCTAATTGCAATACAAAGACCCCAAAATTGGATGGCCACTCTACTAGAGACTTCTTTCTCATCCAGTGAGAAAATTGTATCACAGTCCAACACCAAGACCTTCAGGTCTTTCGTTGAAACATTAGTAATCGAATTTGACAAAGTGAAGTTTGAGGAATTCATTTTCTCTGACAAATCATCCACAACTACTACCAATAACTGTTGCAAGATTCACCACAACGTGAGAATAGGGTCAAAATTAACCCTCACAACTATCAAGATAAACTTCGCCAGAAGCCAAATGAACTTCACTGAGAGCGGAGAAGTATCGACGCTCACCATAGCTGAGGGCCAAGATGTTCATACATCTTGTGATTTTGGACGTCAGTGCACAACCCCGTTGGGGGTTCACTTCAAAGCATATTGTGATGGTCGATATACTTCCCTTTTGGAAATAAAGAACGGGGAAAACACCTCATCTAAATTCCCACAAGAGAATAATATCACTAATAGTGATTCCTCATCTAAATAAAAAATCTAACTTGTGATAATGATCGCGCTACACGAAGGTCAAAGCAACGTCATTATAGGCAATGTTTGCATGCTAAAATCCAAGTAGGTAAAGTTGTCCCTAATGGGAGTAATTGCCTAAACCAAGTTGGAACTTCAACTAATTGAAGAGAGTTCGTATCTCTAAAAAGATCATGCCAATGTCAATGTTGTGCAACTCTAAGAGAAGTTGTCACGGCGGTTCAAGTAAATTGCCAATACAAATCTATTCCTAAGAAGGATTTAGTTTTTTATTGTCTTAGTCAATTTCCTGAGCTTCAGAGGCTAGGACTAAAAGACTGTGACAAAATCTGAAAGGGTAAAACTAAGCTCCAAAAGTTCACAGTAAACAAGACCAATGTCGTCTCTAGCAATGAAGAAGAACATGTTGATATTCCTTTTGATCCTAGATACTCTCCTGGTATTGGAATTATACTTTCAAAAACTACCAGTGTGTATCATTACACGAGGTTGAGAAAGGGGGTGATAATCCCCTTTGATTACTCCCTACTCCAGCCATGTGCTCCACGAGCTTCATCGCAAATCAACCAACTCTTCGCTAGCAATGACAACTCTACTGTAGTGTTATACATGACCCCTAGCTCAAGTCAAGAGTAACGTTGAGCTAAAGATATGGTAGAATGACAAGCCCATGATGATCTTCTATGCCAGATGGAAGCTCAAAATATAGTATTTGATGAACTCTTTGAACATCTTGAAGCAATGCTATAACAACTCATGATGGTTTCCCAACAGCAACATGCAAGCTCCCAAAAAGGGAAGCGATCAATTCATGAGTTACATCTGGAGAAAAAATTCACATCATGAATATGCAAATCCTAATCCTCAAGGATCAAAAACATCAACGCTTCCTAAACTAAGTCATGAGGCAAAGGTCCTTGACGACCTTCAAAAATAGCTCAACATTCTCACATAGAGAATAGAACTAAAGAAGGTTAGAATTATCTACCCTTATCCCATCGAGCAGGATTTTGTTCCTTATCTGATAAAGTTTAAACCACCAACGTTACACATGTTTGATGGTATGGGTTCTCCAAACTAACACATCTACTACTTCTACCAACAAACAAGGAATGTAGTAGGGAATGATGCCATTAAAGTATGACTCTGCATTGACACTCTTTAGGGGGTAGCTTTTGGTTGGTTCAAAAATCTACTCGAAGGGTCAATTAAGTCCTGGGCTAATTCGGAATCATAGTTCCTCTCTCAGTTTTATGAGGAACAATCAGATGTGACCATGGTCAGATTTCTCCCCGAAGGGGAAAGATGTGATTACTTGGTTAGAGATTACATTGAGCGTTCCTGTAACTTGAGCTTATGTTGTCGGGATATGCCATCGCTGATGCTACTTCAGACATGTCAGCACAACTTTGAGCTGTGTTGAAGCTCATTTGGGTGTTGTTATGCTTAACACTTGGAAAGACTTAATGGAGCAAGCTGAGATAGTAGAGAAATCAGCGGAGTGCTTCAATAAGTTAGATCCCCATTCAAATCAAGATGGGTAAGAACAAACAGGGGCAATTGTCCCAATCAAAATCCAAGGAGACTTTTGCCATTATGGTTAAAATGAAGTCCAAAAGAAGGAGTCTTGAAAGAAAAATCAATGAACATATTCCTTCAAAGATGAGCACCCTGTTGCTATCTTTCACGTCCTTAGCAATGGAAATCACTTAAAGCTTACTGAAGTCCGGCGCCAAGAAGAAGTTAGAAAGATTGACAATCCTAACTATTGTTTCTGTCACAGAATGTTGGGACACTCAATAAAGAACTGCTATATCCTAAAGGATAAGATATAGACTTTTGTCGATTTGGTGATTCTCAAATTCAACATGAACAAAAAAAGGTCATTGTTAATATGGTGACTCTTCAATTTGGGTCTATGCTAGAAATTTAGGCTCAAGATGGAGTTGTTCTGATTCCTACTATAAGGATGGGAAGTGGCCAGTCATGATCAATAGGGTTGACAGGGTCAAGGCTTTGTCCTTCTTACTACTA